GGGGGTGGGGCGGGGGAGGGGTGTGCCGTGGAGGGGCCGGGTTAGGGAAGGCATGGGGCTCCGAGGGAGGAAGGAGCAGGCAGCCAGACCAGTTTGGAGAGGTCATTAGCTGCCAGATGACTCGCTGGGCTCCCACATGTGTATGCTGGTTGAGGGGAGCTGAAGGGAAGTGAGGACGGCACCCAGTCTGGCCCCTGCACCAGGCCACCCTGCTCAGGCCCCTCCCTCGGTGCCATCAGGAGCGAGCGAGGCTGGGGTCTGGGATCCGGGCAGGCTTGATGGTCACTATCCCAATCGGCCTTGGCGGGAGGAGTGTGTGTGTGACACATCAAACTCCAGAGAGGTCCCTGGGGGCCTCTGTCAACCCACAAGTCCCTCATTCCCTGGGCCACAAACCCTGCCTTGATGAGCTTCTGCCTCTTCTTGGTTATTGACTCAGGGCCCCTCCACGTCCCTGCCCTGCAATCCCTCTAGCTTGAGCCCACAGCACCCCCCCCCCCCCCCGCCCCCTTCCCCACGGCCGTTTCCCTCAGTCCTCTCGACTCTGCACGCTGGTCTGGAGCCAGGGTCATCCCAGCCCCAGCCCTTCATGGCTCCCTCCTGTGGTAGGGGTGGGGGCGGGCTCTGGAGCTCTGGCCAATGGAGGGTGGGGCCTCCCCAGCTGGCTCCCAGCCCAGGCGGCTGCAATAGTAGGGATGGCTTAGGGGTGAGGCCCGGCCCCCTGTCTCCCCTCCCTTCCCCCAGGTATAAGAGCTGAGCTCAGGTGAGCTTGCTCCTCCTGTCTTGTCTCAGCAGCTGCCAGCAGGTAAGGAGACTGAGGGCTTTTCAACCAAGTGGGCTGCCCCCTATTCAGGGGGCACGCTCAGCCTTTCCTGCCCTAGTCTGCCAGGGAAAGGGCTGGGGGGCCAGGCCCTGGAGGCTGGCGTGTGTGTACACGGAACAGAAGTGGGGGGTTGGAGGAGAGGAAGGCGTGACGCTAAGGTGAGGCCCAAGAGATTCCCTCTGAGTGGGTTGGCCTGGGGGATGTGACCTTAGGTCCTGGAGCCTGAGTGGGGATGGGGCCTTGTGTGGAGTTGGCCCTGATCCCCTGGATAAGGCCAGAATATCTGGGGTGGAGCCAAATGGGAGAGTTGAGAAAGAAATGCTGAGCTCTCCCCTCACCTCGGCCTCCCCGCTCCTTTAGGCAGATCATGCGCCATCGGCTCCTCCTGGGCAGGCTGTAGGACACCGCAAGTCACCAAAGGACCAAGCACACCAGACACCATGGGACAGTGTCGGTCAGCCAATGCCGAGGTGAGCCCATTCATTCCCGGCCTGTCTGTCTGCTCCCACTTCTTTCCTCCACCCTAAGGGTTGTGTGTCCCCCATTGACCTCTGCCCCCTCACCTCGGCCTTGGCCTGCCCTCCAGACCCTGCCTATGAGACCTGAACCCCCTTCCACACGGGGTGATGCAGATGGAGCCCTCCCAGGAAGAGAGTACCTGGGCCACGTGCTGGGACCTGCCCTGCCTGGGGAGGGGCGACTGGGGGTGGCGTGGAAAGAGCCTTGCCCAACCTGTGGCTCAGGGCAGAGGCCAGCGGGGTGAGGGGGCTGGAGGCTGGGCTCTGCAGTGGGCGGGCGGGAGCCCGTGTGTCTTGCAGCTGTTTTCTGCTCTGTTGACCTGGCCAGGCTCCTGAGGCAGCAGGGTATCATAAGGCAGGGTGGAGCCTCCCTGACATGGGCGATGTCCCTGCCCGCAGGATGCCCAGGAATTCAGTGATGTGGAGAGGGCCATTGAGACCCTCATCAAGAATTTTCACCAGTACTCGGTGCAGGGAGGGAAGGAGACGCTGACCCCCTCCGAGCTACGGGACCTGGTCATCCAGCAGCTGCCCCACCTCATGCCGGTACTGAGGGGGTGACCCTGCCCCAGGCAGAACCCTGACTTCCCATGCAAGTGCTCCAAGGTCCCACCCACAGAGCCACAGCCCCTGGCACTAGCAACCCCTAGCCTTTCCCCTTGCCGGTGCCAGCCGGCTGGGGCCCTGCTCCCTGCTCCTGGGCAGGGTGGGTGGGAAGACGGAAAGGTGCTTCTCTGAGCTGTGGTGTCTTCCCTCCCCTCAGAGCAACTGTGGGCTCGAAGAGAGAATTGCCAACCTGGGCAGCTGCGACGACTCTAAGCTGGAGTTTGGGAGCTTCTGGGAGCTGATTGGAGAAGCGGCCAAGAGCGTGAAGCTGGAGAGCCCCGCCCTGGGGAGCTGAAAACCTTCCCCTGGAATTCTTGGGGGGATGTGGGGAAAAGGGGACCTTAGAGACTGCGGGCCTGGAAATAAAACTCCTCTCTCCACCATCAGCACACTATTCCCCAGCCCGCACCTGCCTCACCTCTGCAAGGTGCAGGTTCAGAACGGCCCTTGGAGGGGGGGGGGCCCTGCATTTCATCCCTGGGAGCTCCGTGAACCTAATGGGTCCAGGAGGTCCCACCAGAGGGAGGCCCAGGGGGCGGGTTGGGGCCAGGGATGCTGGAGGGGTGAAGATGGTATAAAGGCCACATCATTTGGTAGTGGGGGCAGGGCAGACAGGAGCTGGGCTATGGGAAATGCTTTGAAAGGGGCTGGAGAGAGGGCTGGATATTTGGTATCACAAAAAAACCCCTGAGACCCTACCCCTTCTAATCTCTTCCCCAACCCACACTAGCTCTTCCTGCCTCCAGCTCTGCCCCCGCTGCCCCCCAGGACCGTCCCTTGGGCCAAGTCAGGGGGGTGTGAGATAGCAGGGTTGGGGGGGCAGGCTAAGGAGGGTGTGAGGACCAGCTGGGTGCTTGGGCGTTTACAGAATGATGGTGGTTTTGTATCATTTGATTAATAAAACAATGGAAAAAGTAAAAGCTGTCTTGAACGCCCTCCCCCCACGGGTGAGGGGTGGTTGGGGTGAACGGCAGGGTCATGGTCGTCGGGTGGCCTGGGAGCCGTGCAAGTGAACAGGGACCTAGGTTTCTTCATGGCTTTGGGTTGAGGATGGTACCAGGCCCAAAAGGTGGGAGACCTGGCCCTCTGGGAAGGACAAGCTTCTCGTTGCGCATGGGCCGGCCCTCTGACAGGAGGCGGTGTGAGAAGGGATATGAACCCAGGTGCTGGAGCCTGGCTGAAGAGGGTCAAGGGAAATGGAAGCCGACGGCCTGCGTTCGGGTCCCAGCTTGGCTACTTCGTGCCATCAGAACTGTAGCCGTGCTCCGATCAGTCTCCTCATCTGTGAAGTGGGGCTATGAATAGCACATCCCCCACAGGATCCTTTGCTGCACACGATCCTGTCCGGGGGATGGGGGTCAGGAGCACTCCTGCTGGGCTGACCTGGAGACAGAAACCTGGTCCCTGGTGTCTGCCTCCCGACTTGAGCCCACAGAAATCAGGCATTACTCCTGGAATCCCAAGGGCATGGAAGTTTCTGTGGCCAGCCAGGCCGGCCTGGAATGCTAACGGAGCTTGTCTTTTTGGGGTCCCTGAAACTGAGCTCCCGGTGACCCGGGTGAGAAGGGCAGGTGACAGTCCTTCCTTTCTCCACCTGGTAGGTTGTGCCAGGCCCTGCGGGGCTAGCAGGGTGGGGTTGGGGGAGTGCCAGCTTCCACCACTCCTTCTGGGGTGGGGGCGGAAGGGTGTTAAAAAAGGTGTGTATCCCTTTAACAAGGGCCCAACCCCAGGGCCAAGTCAAGAGAGAGTTCAGTCACTAGCTCCCCACGAGCCAGCTCAGCCAGGCAGGGAAGGAGGGAGTGGGACAGTTCTGGGACCGCGGGGAGGAGTCCTGTCTGGGCTGAGCCAGGGTTTGCTGCTTGGCGGTGCCACAGCCCAGGCCCCAGAGCCTTGCTGGAGAGGAGGTGGACCGAGGAGGCAGGTGAGTGCCCTAGGCCCGTCCTGGGAGGTCTGGGGCTGCCGGAGAGGCTCCGGAGGCTTGGGAGGCCAGGAGAAGGGGCAGTGAGGGGGCCTGCCAGAGGCTGGGAAGGGAGGTTTCGTTAATTGTTAACTTTCCCCAAAGGTCGGTTTGTGAGTGGAGAGCTCTGGTAGGATTGGGGGCTGGAGAGGCCTTCAGGGGAGTGGATGAGGTGGTGGGACCCCCTCCCGGCCCAGCAGCTGCCTGGGCTCCTCTCCAGGGGCTGGGCCACTGGGCAGGGCGTTCAGGGACTTTGCCTGCAGCTGCTCTGATCCCCTAACAGAAAAAAGGGTAACTGTGTGCTGCTGGGGGTTGGGGGTGGCCAGACCCTGGACACAGGCCTTTCTGGGCTCTGGGCGAGGTGACTAGGTCCAGGAAGAGCCAGGGAGGACCCAGGGACCCCGAGAGCCGGAAGACAGGCACTGAGGTGGCTTCTCTCCACCTCAGGACACAGGCGCGTCCCTGGACGCAGGCCACGTTGTGCTCTCGGAGCTGTTTTCCTGGGAGGGCGGAAGGGACCCAGAGGAACCTGGATGACATCCTGGGGGAGCCTGGGAGCCCCAGGAGGGGGGCCGGGAGCCTGGGCAGGTTCTCCTGTACCCCAGGACCCAGGCAGGTTCTGGCTTGTCTGGAGTGTCTGCCCTATAGAAGCATTCCCTGCCCAGCCCTATGGGGTGGGGGCCAGGGCTGGGGTGCTGGGCTATGGAGCTCTGGACGTGCTGGTAAGCAGAGCTCAGCCTTTCCCCACTCACGAGTAAACAGCTCTCTAGGTGTTGGGGAGGCCAGGGGCTGCCGTGTGTGTGTCTATACCAAACTCCTTGTCTGGGGAAAAATTCCAGACAGCTTCACTTGTCTGGAAAAAATTTCAGGGGAGCAGGCTGCATCCTCTGAACACACAGTGGGTGGAAGGCAGCAAATGGGCTACCCAAGCAGAAGGGATCAGGAGTGGCAGGCTTCCTCGCCTTCTGTGTACATAAGGAGCCTTGTGAGGGCCAGGGAGGGAGAGGCAGGGCCACTTGTGTGAGGTAGTCAGTCGCCCCTGGAATGGCGGACTTGCATGAGACTCAGGGCGCAGGGACTGGGGCAGCGGAGGCTGGGCAGATTCATCTGAAACAGCCTTGCAGATGCAGTGTGGTGTCACCGGCCCACTTCAGATTTGTACCTTCTCTGTAGAGCGAAGGCAGTTGGGACAAGTGAGTTAAGAAGGAGATGCATGAGTGCATGAATGGGCATGAAAAGATGAGTTAATGAATGAGTGAGTAAGCAAATGAATGGTGAATAAGTGAGTGAACAAATGCATGGTAGATGGAAGGGACACGGAGCAGGCCAAACGGAGGCTTGAGAGTGGGCTAGGCTCTAGAGAGGATGGTGGCTAGGAGGGATAGGGGCCCAGGGATGTACCCCAACATTTGGAAACAATTGAAGACTCAGGAAGTGTGCGTGGAGGTGGGAAGAGAAGGTGAATTTTGGAGGGTGTGCTGGGTGTTCAGAGCTCCAGATTAAAGGGGATTAGAGAGCTGAGATGGGGGGTGGTTGGGAAGCACTTGGAAGGGTGGGGCCCAGAACCTGGGGCAGGAGTGGCTGAGATCCAGGTGCACAGGTATCAGGGCAAGCTGGGCTGAGGTGGGCGGGGTGGGGATGGGGTCCCCTTGGTTGCTTAATGATGAATCAGCCAATGAGAAAACAATGAGAGCATTGGGGGAGGGTTAAGGGCCCCAGATGAGAGGGGGCCCCTTGGAGAACAAGTGGTTTCCCCCATTCCCACTTTTTGGGAAGGCTCCAATGTATATGTCACCTTCCCCCAGCTCTCAGGCCAGATCTACCTATGGCTAAGTCGACGCAGGACCTACGTCCTGATAGGACAACACGTTGTCCCCCGACCAACCCTGGGCCTGGGGACCCTCTGGCCTGGTTGGTGGGAGGATGAGGCAGACAGGAGGAGCAGGCAGCTGGCTGTGGCATGGGTATCGTGGCAAAGCCTGTCTCCTGGCCCCTAGGGTGGGGAGGAGGGGATGGAGAGGGTAGAGACACCTGACCATCCCATTCTCACATCCTTGTCCAGATGTAGCTCTAGCGGTGTCCATTTGACTAGAAGGTGGGGGATGGACTATTGGGAGGCCCGGAAACGGAAACCCAGAGCTGCGGAAGCTACCTCTCTGGGGTGATCACACACCTGACGGCAGCTGGCTGATTGTCTCCTGGGTGCTCACCTGGGTTTTGTGTGCTTGGCCGCCAGAGGCCAGATAGGGGCTGGGGCATGGTATCAAGAAAGTGCAGGAGGCTCCCGTGGTCAGAGAAACCAGACTTCAAGAAGGCAGGTGGTGGGAGCGTTGGGTGGGCCTGGGGGAGGGGCGTGCACGGCACACCACCTCCAACACTGACCTTTCCCCTTTCCTGTTCCTATTTCCCACAAAATCCTTCACCCAGGGAACAAGGGCTGGGACGGTTACGGGCGGGGGCGTTCTCTGAACTCGCGCCCCACTTGCAAAGTTTGGTTGAGAGTAGACTTGGCACAATGTTTACTGAAAAAGGTTCAGCTTTCGAATTCCCAGGAAAAACGGTCATGGGCCTGGGCCACTCCCCACCCAAGGGCGGCAGAGCTGACGGTTCAGGGATTGAGAAGAAAAACGATCCCTCCTCGTTTGTGAATGGTAGAGTGTTTGTATGAAAGTCTTACAAAGGGATAAACATTGAACCACACAGTTACACACTTGATAAATAAAGAGCATGGAGAAAGGATATGGCTTCCTGTGACCCTGGTTCCGTACTTGACCCTGCTGGCCACAGACCAGGGCAGAGAAGGACAGGCTACTTCATCAGAAATACCCCAGCCTGACTCCTCTCCCTCTCGGCTCTCCTTCCGTCCCGCATCCTGGCCTAGTCTCATGCTTCCTTCCAAAAAAAGCTTCGCAAAAGAAAAATCTTAGAAGGCTGGTCAGGGGCTCTGGATACCTGGCAACAGGGTTGGCAGGAAGTGGAGCGTTAATAGAAACCTGCCTTGAGCAAAGCTTTGGGCCGGGTGATGCAGGGTAGGGGAGATGCAGAGATTAAAAGCAGGAAGGTTGTACATCCAGGAGTAAAAAAAAAAAAAAAAAATGGTCCCAAGGCCTAGAGCCCTTCTGTTTGTTTGGTTCAGAAAACACAATGGCTGTGTCGGAAACCCTCTCCTTGCTTCCAGGAATGTCTGGTGTCTGGGGAAGCAAGACCCAGGAAGACCGGTCAGTGGGCCCTGGCCAATGCTGGCTGAGAGTCTGAGCCAGAAGGGGAGGGCACCGAGGGCAGGGCCCGGGGCAGGCTTCAGCTAGGCGGAGAGGGCAAGGCAGCGGGCATGGGAGGAGGACGGCCAGAATGGGATTAGAGAGCAGGGGGCAGGGGCAGCGGCGGGACTTGGGCCTGGCGAAGCAGGCCTCCTTACCAAATCGAATCGGGGATGCCCAGGCCCCGATGGCGGCCGTGCCCACCTTCCCTTGCCAGGACCCGATGGGCAGGGTGGCTGCAGGTCATTCCTGGGCTTGGGGGCGGGAGGGGAGGCTCATTTGCCCGGGTTCACTTTGGGGGGGCTCTGGGCATGGGCGGCGACTCACAGTGGACCCGCCTGCTCCCTTCATATCCTGTTGTTCAGAAGGCTGTATCCGCTGGGATGTGAGTGCCTTTGTCCTGGGGCCAGGGGGTGACTGTGTGGCCTTTGGCTGGCTGGCCGGCCGGCTGTCTCCAGCTGGGGCAGACCGGGCCTGGCTCCTCCTTAGGTAATGGGGCGAGAGGTTCTTGGGTCCTGCTGTATATTTCGGGGTGGGCATGAGGGAGGCGAGGCTAGCGGGGTGTGGCTGGGGGGCCCCCCGCAGAATGAATGACTCCATGGAGAGGACATTGTCGTGGTGCCTGGCTGAAGGGATTGGGGAGGGCTTAGGTCCCTGCCTCCTGCTTTGTTGACTGGGGCTGTGGCCTCAGCCAATCTTGGTGGGGGACAAGTGGCTGCAGCCCCTCTGGCCCCCTTGGCTCATCCTAACAGTTCCTGGCTGTTTGTCCCCAGGGCAGGGGACCTGGGTGGGCCAGGTGTGCAGAGGGCGGAGGGCTGGGCCCTCACTCTCCTCTTCCCACGGAGTCTCTTGCTCTCACTGGGACTCCGACAAGCCCAGCGCCTGGGGCTGGGGAAGGACCTGGGGAACCTGTTAAGGCGGTTGAGCTGGGGGACTCCTGGATTAGAGGAGCCACATAGTTCTCATTCCAGGGCCACCCCCGCGCCCACCGTGAGCCTCCCTTTCCTTGCCTCCTCCCTCCAGCCTGGGGGGGGGGGCGGGGGAAGGGGGCCCAGGGTGGGCACGGGGGTGAGAGGAGGTTGGGCCTGTGGGGTCTCTTCTCATGAGCGCTTCTCATGGCGGCCAGGCCCCGCGCGAGTGAGGCAGCGAGATGGCAGACTGCTACACGGAGCTGGAGCAGGCGGTCGTGATCCTGGTGGAAAACTTCTACAAATACGTGTCTAAGTACAGCCTGGTCAAGAACAAGATCAGCAAAAGCAGCTTCCGAAAGATGCTGCAGAAAGAGCTCAACCATATGCTCACGGTACAGCCCCCTCCCTGTGCCCTCCTGTCCCCCCAACAGCACAGGCTCTTGACCCTGCCCAGGCGTCTGTCCTCTGGAGGGGAGGGGCCCAGGCCCGAGCCAGTGAGGGCTCTGTTCCCATTTACCAAGGTCAGCAGCTGCCCAGGTCCCATCCCGAGCCTAAGGGCCTGCCTGCCTGGGGGCTCTGTGGGGCTGCCACTCTCAACACTGCTGATTCCGCTTCCTCCCCAGGACACGGGGAACCGAAAGGCAGCTGACAGGCTCATCGAGAACCTGGACGCCAACCACGACGGCCGTATCAGCTTCGACGAGTACTGGACCTTGATAGGCGGCATCACCAGCCCCATCGCCAACCTCATCCGCCAGCAGGAGCAGCAGAGCAGCAGCTAGAGGACCTGCCACCGTCCCTCCAGGGCACGGCCCCAATGCCGGGCCCCTCTCGCTCTTCCCAGTCTCCTTCCTCTGCCTCCTGCCCACCCAGGTCCCGCCCTCGCTTCTCCTTCCAGACCTTCTCCTGACCCTCGCTGAACAGGGGGAGGGGGTGATGTCAGGGTCTCCTTGTGAGCATCTCAGTCTGGGGGTGCCTTCCTAAGGGTCTCAGTCCCTGGAGCCAGTAGGCCCTGGGGGCCCCTCTGTGAGATCTCAGTGCTGTTTGGGGACCCCCCCAACATTTCCTCAGTCCACCCGCCCTTCCAACAGCTGATGTTCCTGTCTGATTCTGAGTTTGTCCGACCTCTGGAGGTCAGCTCGCTGCCCCAGGTCTTCCTGCTCCTGGCAGCAGCAGCAGAGACCTGCCTCCCACGCCCAGCCCCTGTGCTGGGCAGAGAACACTTCCAGGGACTGCCCTTCAGCTGCCTCTGGGTCTGGGAACAGCTAAGCAGGGTTGAGCCCCCTCCCTCCTGCTCAGTCACTGAAGCATGGCAGTAAAGGCTGGATTTGCAATTTGTAACCCCCTCACCCGGCCCCTGTGTGATGCTCATTAAAAGCGTTCTACCCCTGTAACCTCCTCAAGCTTGGTGGTCTTTTCCCTGGGCCCCTGCAGCAGGGGGGACTCTCGCAGAGGGCAGAGCAAGAAAGACGTAGACTTCCTGGATCCCAGCAGGTGCTGGCAGCCCTGGGCCGGGAGCTTCCTCCCTCCTGCTCCACGAAGGGCCACCGGCTCTGGGTCCTCTTAGTCCAGACCGGCTAAGTCACCTTGCAGTCACCTTGCGGGCACACAGTGTGTCCCATTTAGTCCTCACTGCGATTCTGTGAGAGGGGCGGTGACCGAGGCCCTGAGTCGTTGTCACCCACAGATTATTCTAACACGCAAGGAAGGGGATGGGATGGGAAAGTGGGTACAAGAAGAGAGGCGTGTGGGAGGCCAGCATGGGAACGGGGCAGGGGAAGGAAATCCCAAGTGACAGCTGCTGGAGGGGACAATGCCAGGCTCCTGGTTTCCCTCCTCCCATGGAGAAATGCGTGGGCTCCGCGGGAAGGGGAGAAACCCAGAACAAGACCAGCCTGCAGGGCTCTGCACCCCTGGTTTCCAGCCCAGGGCAGTGTCCCCCAAGGTTGCAGATTGTTCAAAAGATGTACAGACAATTTCTGGAATCCATTTGCGGATCTCCTAAAACCGCTCTGCGTCAGAACAGGCCTGCGGTTAAGGGAGCAGGCTGGTCTCCCCCACCTCCTTCTCAACACCCCTTCCCCAGTCCATGGTATCCATTCTACTTCTG